GATCAAGAAAACAAAAACTGACCGCACAGTCCACTTGCGAAGCAGAAATTATTGTTTTAAACGATATCACAAAGGAAATCTGCTGGCTGCAAAATTTATTGTCGGAACTTGGTATCGACATTGGACCAATTGTCATCAACCAAGACAACCAATCGGCGATAGAAATTGCTGAACATGATAAGGTGAACCGCAGGACCAAACACCTCGACCTAAGGCACTATTTTATCCGGGATAAAATTCAAGACAATTCGGTGGTCCTACGATACACGCTCACAGACGAGATGGCTGCTGATGCTTTGACAAAAGCACTCGTGAGGAAATTGTTCGTTAAACACAAGACACCCATGGTTAAGCCTGTAGCTGGTGAGAATGCATACTCGCACAGGGTATAGAGACTGAGAACCCGATAAAGCGGGGCTGGAAAGCTTGAATTTCTCTTGAAATAAATAATTTTGATAATGAACTCTCAAGGTTAGAAGCTGTGTGCAATGAGCTCCCAATGATGAAAGATGAAGAGCAATGAGCAGTACGGAAAATCAAAGAGCTCAAACGTCGGATTTTTCAGGCCAAAGTGTGAAAACGCTAACGTCCATGTTCATATATGTTGTTTTTTGAAACAAAAATATTTGTGCCCTGCACCTGTTATTGTACTACGAGTTACTGGGTTGATCTTTGTCCTGTTTGTTTTTGTCCGACTTTCTGGCCTGCGTGCAGTGGGCTGAGCCTCTCCCCAATTTTGGGACTTCAGACTGTACACATTTTGATCCAATAATTTTAGGCCACATCTTCGAAGCAGACCTCGTGATCAAATGTTTTCTTAGGAAGCTTGGATTCCGTCAAACTACATCTACAGCTTAAGGGGGAGTATTGATCACAGTAAACCAGGATTACTTACCAAGCATAAAACTACGGTCAAACACCGGAGGCTCAACAAGGTTTATCCCAGCATCAACTAAGGAGAGAATCTGAACTCAGAGAGGGACACAGAAATACTACAGATGGAAATTAATCTCGGAGCCGAAGTGCCGAGAGTACGGAATCATCAATATAGAAAATCTCTGATGGGCATAAGGGCATCCCTAAATATCGGAGGAGTACAATCTAAACGTATAAAACCAGAGATTACAATGGAAGGCACGATTAGTTGAAGACGTGGCGACGCTGCCTTTGGATTGGATCATAAATTAAATGAGAACCTTTTTCACCTTAAGAGGTGATTTTTAATGGCTCAAGGATTACGAGTCCAATCAAATAAATCACAACTTTTCACTTAAAACCTAAAACACTTTAAGATACTTTAATATCTGAGAACAAC